TAATGATAGTTTGATCAATAAACCAGGTTTTTGGTCGATAAACCTGGTTTATCGGTCGATAATGATAGTTTGATCAATAAACCTGTTTTATCGGCGATAAACCTGGTTTATCGGTCGATAATGATAGTTTGATCAATAAACCAGGTTTTTGGTTCGATAAACCATGTTTATCGACCAAAAACCTGGTTTATCGACTTTTTGAACAAAATGCTTTCCATAAAATAATCATAGTTTCTTTTTCGAAAAACCTGGTTTATCGGCGATAAACCAGGTTTATAAGTCGATAATGATAGTTTCGTCGATAAACCAGGTTCTTGGTTCGATAAACCAGGTTTATCGACCAAAAACCTGGCTTATCGACTTTTTGAACAAAATGCTTTCCATACACGTAACAAGTCGATTATGAAAGCAGATGTGACATATCATGTGTCTAGCCAATATGTGTAGCCTGATGCTTTCAGGTAGCATAAACACAGTGAGGACTGAGTAGTAGCTGATATAGCTGCACTGTAAGGTCAAATAAAATTATATGTGGGTTTCTGCGTAGTAAATACAATGTTGAATATGTGGTTATATAAAGCTACCCACGCACTAGTAATGGCTGTCATTGCAGCGATGAGCAGTTTAGAAACAGATTCTGATTTTGTGTCTCCACCAACGAGAGATTATCACCCATAACTCCACAATGTCTGGTTTGCTTGATAGTATCGTGGTCGGTATTATTGTATTAAGGCGATTCATGCCACGTGATCGTAGAGGTTTTTGTACATCAGCAGTCACCGCATAACCATAGTAAGTTGATGATATTAATTGGTTTCTACTATTTAGAAAAGACACAAGGCTGATGATGGAGTGAACAAACGCAGAGTTCATGGTAAGTTCTATGCTTATGATGTTTCAGTATTATGATGATTATTATAAGTTTACATTTATTGTATATGCAGGATAATTAAAAAAGAATTGGGCATTTATTACTACATACGCCGTCAGCATATATCCAAATGTGCGATCCATGTCACTGTGTTCTCTGCAAGAAAAAGAATGGACCGAAGACGCGAAATCATGAAAACACATTAAACAAGCACAAAAGACATAAACACAAAAAAACAGTAGACGAGTGTTTCATTCTTTGAATTGCTCTGTGTAATGTCTCCGAGATTATAGATATAGTATATATCATATATATATACTAAAAAAGTTTAGAACATCTCTACACAATAGATATATTATTAAAGTCTACCTGCTGTTTATGTGCTGTTTTCTGTTTATTGTTAGTGCTGAGACATGGGGATTGGAGATTACTAAAGTGGACAGAAGTGGGCGTAGGTGACATAGTTAAAATCATGAATGGCCAGTTTTTTCCTGCAGACCTTATCCTTCTGTCGTCTAGGTAGGTTTCATTTAGCTGCGGATTGATTCTAATTCTAAAAATATGTTAAATGTATTGAAAAGAAATATATGCCCAGCCTATATTATCTACAACCATGACGTAATAGTAAGCACAGCATTGCCATATTAAAACAGTTACTAAATAAGTGAAATAGTAATGTTAATATTATTGTTATTGAAAAATATATTAAAATAATAATTATAATATAATAAATTATTCCATGTATCAAATTGCATTGAAGAGCGTTGTAGCATCACTGGGAATTGTTAGATGCACGATGTTGCATTTAAGTAAAGCTATTTCTATGCGGCAGCGAGCCGCAGGGCATGTGCTACATCGAAACTTCCAACTTGGACGGAGAGACGAACCTGAAGATCAGACAGGGTCTGTCGCAGACCGCCAGCCTGCTGACTCACCAGGAGCTGCTACAGCTGTCCGGGAGCATAGAGTGCGAGGCACCCAACAGACATGTGTACGACTTTGTCGGCAACATTCGTCCGTCTGGAAGAACGTAAGCAAACTCGGCAGCGAACCGAGACTGAGGTGATTCCAAGCACGACAGATTTCTCGGGAATCTCACTAGCAGTGTTTCCCTTGGCCAAAAGGTCCCTGGAGTGGTAAATTTTGTTGGTGTGTTTGCGCATTTCGACGTCCTAGCAAAGTGTGGACCGCAATTTTTTTGTTGAAAAAATGGAGCAATTTGGTGCATTCTAAGCACTGTTCTTTGGAAGAACAGTGATTTTCATCAGCGAGGCGGTGTTTTGGACAAATTTCTGTGTGGCGGCTGAGAATTTGAGCGAGGCTGTCTGCCTCGCTCGTGTCAATGCAGGGGAAATACTGCACTAGTATCAACGTGCTGTGATACCTGTCAAGTGATGAGCTGTTTTTGATAGTGCCATGAGAGTTTTGTGTGTAACTCAATAATTCTAATATAAAACATCTTCTAAATGGTCCAAAAAACAATATTTTAATGAAGATCATTTCCAAAAACAGATCCAGTATTTGCTATGCAAATGCGTTCATATTTTTCTCACTCGCCAACCCATGCCAGTAACACTCGGTGTTAGAGCTGCGTTACTATTTACAAGAAATCTAAACATTGCCTCAATCGTGAGCAAGCTATGATGGAAGCTATATTCTCACACCACACGAGGTTTGGTATTTGTTACAGAGCCATCCCATTGGGTTCAGATCAAATTCTTCTTAGAGGTGCACAGCTGAGAAACACCAAGTGGCTGTTTGGCATTGTCGCCTACACTGGACATGAAACTAAGCTGATGATGGTGGGTAGTCAGTGTAAGGGGTGCTGATAATGTAAAACGTTATTCAAAAATATAAATTCCATTTTAGATGATCACACATATTGTTCTACCAACGCCAGTCACTGACTTCTCAAAAAATATTTGCATATATACTTGCTACTAAATAAAAATAATAATGAACTAAACATTTTTATTGTAATTTAAATATTTTTACATTTATTTATATTGATATTTTTACAGATACGTATTTTTCGTCATCGATATGCCATCAGAGGTAATGTCATCCAAATGTAACTATTTAGATCCATAAATAATAATTGAATTACATTCGTTAACTAAATTAATTCACCTCTGTCTCTCCCCTCGTCGTCGGCGTCGTCTGCCGCATGACAGAATGCGACGAGCGTGCCGCTGAAGCGTTCCACGGTCGACCGCATCACAAACACGCAGATCATGATGATGTTTCTTGTGCTCATCGTCCTCTGTCTGGTCAGCGCCGTGGCCAGCGAGGTATGGACGCACTGGCACCTGCACCGCGACTGGTACCTGGGATTCGACGGTGAGTGTGCGTTGCTGCCGTGCATGTTTATTGCGAGTGTTATTGCACTGTAAGTACTGCCGTAAAGTGTGCTGTAGCATAATATAGCATTTTATAAATATTTTCATTTAGCGTGTATCGAGGGTTGTATTATCTATCACATGTTAGTTCATTGCTGTGGATTATCATACATAAAATCATTGTAGTGTATTTACCACTATTATCACACTTTAAAACATTACAGCGTAATGGTTTAACCATAAACCACGTGTTGATATTTTGTAGTGTATTATCACAGGCTGGTACAGTGCAGCCTACTGTCATGTGTAAATAAAGTGAGTGTACCATCAGCCTTTATAATGATCTTGATCCTACCCGCAGACTCTGTTGTTTTTCAGAATTGTCCAGTAGCAATTTCGGCTACAACTTTCTGACATACATCATAGTCTACAACAATCTGATTCCCATCAGCTTGCAAGTGACGTTGGAAGTGGTTCGTTTCATCCAGGCTTTGTTCATCAATATGGTATGTAAGCCTTCATGCCCACTCACCTAGTCGTGGTTATCAGTATCCAATACTGTATTATTATATGAAAATGTAAACAGAGGAAGAATTAATTTAGTAGTTTTGCACATTTACTCACTATAGGTAGGGGTCTCAGATGATGCAAAGTGCAAACTGGGTCATTTTTGCAGCTGATGATCATTGGCACAATAAAATGGACTATACGTGAACCCACAAAGTGACTAGGTCCTTATAAATAGGGAGGGAAATTAAAATCTACGACAGTAGACTAACAATACACTGATAATAATTCTATACGATAGATTAGAAAATTAAGTCAATATGCCAGTTCACTGATTTCCTTTGATATTGACTCACTTGACGTTTCCATTGATATTGTTGCATATTTGATCAAATCAGGATCAGGACATGTATGATGAAGATTCTGATACTCCAGCTATGGCAAGAACTTCTAACTTGAATGAGGAACTAGGGCAGGTACACATATTTTTGATACAATATGTGTTCACGCATGATGTGAATCGTGTCTCACTATGCGTTTGCTTATAGGTTATCCAGTGGTACTGAAAGTGCAAAGTTTGATATACGAATTTCACTTAATTCATATAGCTATCATGCTTGACTATAATTAGTCAGCAAGTTACATGTAATTATGAGCATGGAGAGCCTTGAATGCTTTTTTTGGAGTAAATTGCTATGTAATGCACATAACCAGAATATAACTGAATAAATTGTTAATTCATCGTATAACTGGGTTATTAAACGAATATCACAGTACCATATGGGGGGGGGGGCAGATATTGGTGATATAGGTTGCTATCTTCTATCCTACCTGTGAAATGCTTTATCAGGTGACAATAAACTAAGATTAATGTGAGCTTGGTCTTGTAAGGTAGATGGGTGCCAATACATCATTTCTCCCTTTCTAAATTTCAGATAGGCTATATTTTCACCGATAAAACAGGCACTCTTACCAGAAACGTGATGGTCTACAAGAAATGCAGTGTGGCTGGAATAGTGTATGGGTATGTGTCACGTTCGTGCACATGTTCTCTCTCTTATTGTTATCATGGTGACTGACTGTACACCTTCTCTCTGTGTGTTATTAGGGTGATATGCAGCTCCTCCTATCGTTGCAGGAATCACGAGCTGCAGGGACCGGACGATCCGTTCTGCGATCCCACGTTGCTGGAGAACTTGAACACGGGCCACGCGACAGCGCCTATCATCCGCGAATTTCTCATCCTCATGGCCATTTGCAACACTGTTGTACCGGACACAAACGGCTCCACCATCAACTACCAAGCATCATCCCCAGGTCCTGGCGCCCGTCCTTGCACTTGCGGTCCGGACCAGACTGAGCCGTCTCGGCTATTTATTCTTAATTTTGCTATGAGGTTTAGTTTTTAATTTGAATAATTTACGGGCGTAAATGAACATAAGTTTATGGGTTAGAGGTGGATGATCATGAAGTCATGTACATTGGATGTGGTCATCATACTGTTGACGCCGGCAACGGCTGCAGTTTGGCACGCACCAGTAAAGAATGCATGTAAACTGGTCTTGCTTGACCGACTTCGTAATGATATCCAAGAGCAGAGCGTGGTTACATCTCTCGGAGAGACGAAGGTAGTAAACTTTACGTCGTGTGTGATAGTCATGTGTAGGCGTTGTTCACAGCCGCAGCATTGGCAGCACATGCGTTGCGAGGGCAGCAATGTATACCTCCTGTTCCATCTTACAGATGAAGCTGCACTGGTAAAGGGAGCAAAGAGGTTAGGCTTCGTGTTCAAGGTCAGAACACCCCAGGCTGTTTTCATCGAAGTGGTAGGTAGTTTGTCCTTGGAGACCCGTAACAGTATAAGATGCATTTATGAGATGCATATCATTAATATTTTGCTATCGTATCAATAATAGATTTTTTAATATTGCATTACTATAATCTTGTCTACACTGCGAATATGCAAGTGTATTCGATGTAGGTTATATCATACTAGGGCAGCATGATCTACTAAAGCAGGGGGCATCTTTGCTATCTGAGGTCAGACTGTTTTCTTGCTTGCTGTAACCTGAATCCACATATCAGAGATGGGCCAATAGCTAAACAAATTCCTTTTTGTTAATTGCTGTGTAGATATAGTATCAGGAATAGGTAATACATAGACAGTGCATAATGAAAAAGAAGCTCGAACAAATTTTTATGCATAACATAATGTATGCAAAATGCATTTATATTTTTATATTAATAACTATTTCTTCTATGTTCATATGTACATATTTATATTCCTACACTAGTGTTGTAATTGAGCCTTGGTCACACAGAGTTGACAACACATATTGATAATGTTGCATTTATAGAAATCAATTTCTTTTGCTATTTTCCTCTAGTTTGGCAGGGAAGAAAAATATGAAGTGCTAAATATACTAGAGTTTACAAGGTGAGTTAGACTAAGATTACATAATGAGTTAGTGTTGAATCATTTGTTATGTCATAATTATGCAGAGATGTGTTTTACATGTCTGCAGACAGTACATTTGAGAGTATCTGTCACTGTTATCATATCTGAACACTATATTTGGATGAATTTAAAGTAGGTGTGATTTGCGTGTTAAGTTTCATAGATGGTTGCGTAGTAAATCATCTTTCTATGATTTGTTTGTTCTAGCAACCGAAAAAGAATGTCAGTTATAGTTAGAACACCATCCGGGAAGATTAAGCTGTACTGCAAAGGAGCTGTAAGTACCCTTTACTTTAACACCTATTTTGCTAATGTATATATGGTTCGTAATATTGTACAATTAATACTAACTGTGTGCACATTTATAAATTTGCATATAGCCACTGTAGGCACTGAGGTATGGATGCATGAAAAGATTACATTTGTTATAGTTGTTATACATTTAATATGTAACACTGCTAATTTTTATTATTTAGCATATAATCTCAGAAGCCTATTGAAAATGTTCTTCAGTCATTGCCTATTCTTTTTATTACTCTGAATACATGTATGTATGAATATATATATATATATATATATATATATATATGAACATATATAGAGAGAGAATATGAATGTTCCATGTTATTGGTCATGATATGTTGGATATTCTCTTGGAGCGAAAAACTATCATTTTGTCTGTGGCCATGCAGGACACTGTAATCTATGATAGACTGGGGGACAATCAGACCTACAGAGATATCACCTTGGGGCACCTGGAGTCGTTTGCCACATCAGGTATAACACTGCCTATTCTACAATCAACTTTGTTAAAATTAGTTTATTACTACTGAACGTAATTGGCTTGATGTATTTAACCACGTAAACAATGCTTGATATCTCATTGCTGTAATAGAGATGAATGTGCCTGTTGTAACATGGTTGAAGCATATTATCGCATGTTTGAAATCACGTTATATCACATGTGTGACGACGTTTGTGGTTATCAGGTCTCAGAACTCTGTGCTGTGCAGTTAGTGATATATCGAGTGAGTTGTACGATCAGTGGAAGGATATGTACCACAAGGCTAGCACTTCCATTCAGTACAGGGAGAAAAATTTAGAAGAGGCAGCAGAGGTCATTGAAAGGGTAAGTTATATTGTGATATTTCTTGCGTATTTCATCAGTCGCCATGTATTAGTTGAGAGAAAACCTTGGGGGCAAGGAAATTCTTCTCCGCATGTGAGTGCTATGTCATGTTTCAAACCGTTGCTCTCTCCCTCTTGCTTTCACTGATAAAACAAATATTGACTGGACTTGCAGGATATTAACTTTTTATGTTTTCCTATAATCTTGATAGAAGGAATCAAGGGACTAAGCTAAAAAATAATTTTTTTTCAGTTGCCTTGTAATTTGTATACGCTGTAGTACTTACTGTACAGCACAAGGGTAATCGGCACAATCATATAGCATAATAATAATAATACTAACACAAGGGTATATATATTTATCTTGGTGGCAGAATTATTTTCTAGCAATCTATAGCCACAGTTAGGGTGCACACTTGCAGTCTTATGTGAGTAGGTCATTTTAAAATGTGAAGGAATATAGATGACTTACCTTGATATAATTCTCATATCATGTGTAATATGTATGGTGTATGTGTGATTTGTATGTGTGTGTGTGTGTGCGTGCGTGCGTGCGTGTGTGCATGTGTGGGTGTGATTGTGTATGAGCTTCACTGTATGTACAATCTGCTGTGCTTTGTTGCAGAATCTCATGTTGCTAGGAGCGACAGCTATTGAGGACAAGTTACAGCAGGGGGTGCCCGAGACTATAGCCGCTCTACTGAAGACTGACATCAAAGTGTGGATGCTAACTGGTGACAAGCAAGAAACTGCTGTGAATATAGGTAGCTGTCCCCTGACCTGCGCTAATAAGGCCACTCTTTGTACAGACACTCACCTATGCATCCATAGAATTCAGCTAATTCACTCACTGATTTAATTGTGAATTTCGTTGAAAACAAACTTTGTCTGCATACTTACATAACCCGTGAAGTCTTGGATAGAGTTACATCAAACAATAACTCATTTTAGGGCAATCTCATAAACGCTAGTAATTATGCAGATATTATAATGTAATGCAGTTGGTCCTTGCTATATGATGCCTCAGTACGAGTCGTTGTCAGTTTATTAGGGAATATATTTCACTACATGTCAATAAGTTTCACATTTACATCATTATCTGACAAACTCATCATTGATAAGTTTGGAATGTGTAACTAGATCTTGCTGCAAGCTTTGTGCAGTAGCGCAAGCAGTAGTACGCATGCCAACCCCCATGTTTTGTTTGTTTGTTTGTTCGGTTACTTTATTTTATACTGGACTCAAGGTTTTAAATCCACATGAGTAGAACCCACTCCAGGAATCTGGCTCGGTCCAGTTTTTTGGCAGTTCTTCCATTGCACAATTTTTATTTGAAGCAGATTTTTACGACTGTATGCCCTTACTAACATCAACCCGTGACGGGAAGTTTTTCCACATTCTATCTCTTTTTGCTGAGTGCTAAGCAGAGAAGCAGTGTGTACCATTTTTCAAGTCTTTGGTATGACCCGGCCGGGATTTGAACCCACGACCTTCCGCATGCGAGGCGAGCACTCTACCATATGTGTGTGACATTTATTACAGTATATGGACTGCTGTAATATTACAGGGGTTACACGTTGTTATGTTTCTACATGGATACCGTTACGTGATGAAAAATCATAACGTTCGCCAGAGTCACATGCCGTAATGACATATTATGTGGAAACGCGTGATTATGAAAGTGAAACAGAAATATCACTATGGTCTTTTGTATGGTATGGTAATTTCGTTGCTTT